CGCAGTAATGGTGGCCACACTTGGCATCACAGATGTTTATGAACTACATTTCCCATGATGCTCAGCCAGCACCAGGTGTGAGATATATAGTTCCCCACTAATGGGATTTGCTAATTTGGGAAAGGTGGTACCCCACATCGAGGTAGTATTTTGAAAATGGCAATTGTAGTCCTAAGATGCTTTGTGAACTACTTCTCTGATGATGGTGAACACAACACTTTGATTAATTATTATTATTATTATTTTATTATTTATATAGCGCCAGCAAATTCCATAGCGCTGTACAATGGGGGGATTAATCACCCCCCCCCCCCTTTGTTCATAGAGAACTGGGGTACTAAAGTAAGACATCACTGGGACGGTTAACCCATGGGTTGAGAAACATTTGTAGAACATAAGATATTAAAGGGTTTATTCACTAACCTCCTCCTAATAGTAAAAAACAATTGCAAAATATCAGCTAAAATGGCAAGCAATGTTAGCCTAAATTCGACTATCTATCTATCTATCCATCTATCTATCTATCTATCCATCCATGATGCACTAAGCATCACACTATTGCTGAGCACATTATGTTCATCAGTTTTCTAATGCTACTTGGGACGTACCAGTAATACATTTGAAGACCCTTCTAATAAATATTTCATTGGGTGGCACTCTACTCCCTCTGTAAATATTACTGAGTGAAATTAAAATGACAATGCCAGATGTCTAAATATTAATGGGTATTTTCAATAAGTCCTACAGGATCAGAGAATCTGCAAGCCTCATAATTGCTCGCAGAAATAGAAGTTCAGGGATATCCCAGATGTGTATTCAATGCTATTCTTAAATAATTGACGTACTGCCCAGCCGTGGGAAATATAAATGAGCTGGCAGCTGCTTCACCACCCCCCCCCCATTATTTTTAAATTCCTCTGCAGTGTTTCCATCTGCGCCATGCATAAAGACCCTCTTTTCTAATGTGCCAGCTGGGCGTACGGTCCCACAGTCTAGTGACCTACATTCTTACACAGCCTAAAATGTGTGCCAAGACTATTATCGACTCCTAACTAAATCATTTCAACACTACTGCTGCCTACAAAGAGTCACGTGTAAAAAATTTTTTTTTTTAAATGGGTTAATAAATAAATGTGTAAAACTACAGATGCATACACCCTTCCTAATGCCAGCCTAGTAGGTACAATTTAATATGTCTGGGGGTAAGTGGTAGAAGCCTGAGATGCTCTTTGTCATATGGCGTGGTAGAGAGTTAAAGCCAGCTGTTGATAAGTTACTATCCGCCTATGTTGGCATTCTGCCTGCCCCCTTTACCCAGAGATTAGCACTGGAGCCATGGTCTCATTCCCTGGCACAAATAATGCGCTAGATTCTGCACGTGGAAAAGGAGAGGTAGCTGTGTGACCAGCGTCGATCTGCGTTGCTAAGTTGTGTGTGTGTATATTGGATGAGTGTTTGTTATGTTACAATGATGTGTTCATGCTTCTTTGCGTCCGTTGCTGGTATTCTACATGCTCGCAAACTGGTATGCTTACATAGGCATGCAAGGGGTGTCCCTGCTGGAGGGAAAGGGTTAAACACTGCAGGGGACACGTGCATTGGTTACATGGGCGAAGACACCCGCCACCTGCTGGGAACACTACACGTGTGACTGACTCCAATAATCCTGGCTGAGCCCCTGTGCAGTCAAACACCATAACACAGACCAAAGCTCATACAGCGATGGTTATCCCCCCTCCTGCAATACAGGCACATGCGCTCCAACCAATGATCTGATGCGGAATTAGAGGGGTGTGTTTGCTTAATGCACGTGTACAGATAGGACACAGTCAACATGACTATACGGGGGGAAATGAGGATCTGTGCAGGAGGGTTTTGTGGTTATTTATAAGTGTCTGTGTACTATTTTGTTAAAAATGAATAGCACGTTTGTTCCATTAAGTAAGATCTACGCTATATATTTGTAGAAATATTTAAGTGCTACATTTCTACACATCAGTTGTTCTTGACCTTTTTTATTTTGTTAAAAAAAATTTCATGGATCCAAATGACACACATGACATTACTTACTCTTCATTTGGAAAATTAGACCAATGACCCATTTTTCAATTTTAATATAATATAGTTTATAACAAGGTAATTTCTGCACATCATCTACAACATCTTGAATACAAACATAAGAATGACATAAACATCTTTAGTTAAATCTGCACATTATTTATATGTTGTGCTTGCTAACGTAAATAAATACATGAAAGCTTGCCTAAAGATGGCATATGACTGTCATAAAATGGCTACCAGAAATAAATTTGATCCAAGTGCACCATCCACATGACGTGAATGATCTAGTCCAGGGGTAGCAACCTTCGGCACTCCAGATGTTGTGGACTACATCGCCCATAATGTTCTTAAAACTATAGGGCTGGCAAAGCATCAGGGGAGATGTAGTTCACAACATCTGGAGTGCCAAATGTTGCCTATATCTGAATTCTAATCCTAAATCATACATTGCAAAATGAGTTCAAAATAATGCCTAAGCATTAACCAAACGTATTGGAATTCACAGTATTGTGATGGGGATAATATCATGTGCATATTTTATAGGTAAAGTGTCTAAATGGACAGCACTAAAGGCATACAGTTGCATTTAACCCTTGCGGTGACAAATGTTGCAGGTCAAGTCATGTCAGAAAATAAATTATAATTATTATTTATATAGTGCCAACAACTTCCGTATCGCTGCACAATGGGTGGACTAACAGACACGTATTTGTAACCAGACAAGTTGGACGCACAGGAACAGAGGGATTGAGGGCCGTACTCAATTAAGTCCAGTTGCCTTCTGATAACTAATATTTGAAAATGTACAGGCCATTTTAACAAAAGTTGATTATTTTCCGTATTTGTCTGGTATCCTCCTTGCTCCATTTCCATTTGATACACCATAAGGCCAGTCTGAAGGCCTAGAAGTGTAAAATTGGCCTCAGGCTCTTCTAATCATTTCTGGATTCCATACGTCAAATGCACTCAAGAATGATGGGAATTACTCCAAACTGTCTCTGAGCTCACGTGGTGTCCATTTAATGTAGCCGCGAGATATTCCTGTATGTCCCTAGGAGGGTTAGCCTAGGTTGCCCAGTCTTTGTGCATCTGTTCTGTGTCCTGTACATTTGCTGTAAAGGGGGATAAGCACTGGGTTTAAGAGCTTTGCTGTGTTATGCTGTTTGACTGCACAATGGCTCAGCCAGGATTATCAGATCCAGTCACTCGGGTAGAGTGGCCGGAATGTGGTGGGTATCCTCAGCTATGTAACGGATCCACTGACCATTCATGTAAGGTTATGAGTGCACTGTGTGAGATTTATAAATCTAACTCCATTAGCATCACCTACATGCCCAGTGATGGGTATTATTTGGATCTCATTGGCATGAAGACCTATAATTTTCATATAGTATACTGTACACAACATATCACATATGCAAGCACTCAGATGCAGACCTGTCATCACAATTTTAGATCTAAATTTCTCTTTCCGAACATAGGTTTGGCAAATACTAAAATGGATTCTTAATGTAGGATTGCCATAGGAGATGGCGACCAAGGGTCTCGTCACCTGCAGGAAAATCACTTTGCCCTATAAATTGCGACATTTGACAATAATATCCTTGGTGGAGTATTTGAACCTGAATGTTTGTGCTCCATGTTAAAATTTTGTCCTACATCTTGTGTGTCAGAATCAGTTACACACAAATGTAATAGAAAAGTGGTGGTACAATGGAAAAGCCTGGAGCTCCATAAAGATATCATTTTCTACAGTATTTTTGTAGCTTTCCCACCAAATCATGTTTAATATCGACCTCATCCAAAACGTTGACAGTTTGGACATTTTTACAACTACATAAGGCAAAAACGTGTAGCCAGGATTAGTTGTTTTCAATTCAGCAATTTAGGAATTCCATACCTCCCAAGTGTCCCTATTTAGGAGCTACAGTCCCTATTTTGGCACAATTCTCCATGTCCCTATTTGCTATGATAATACCCCTCTTTTCTAGGAGCTCTGTATTGATGGTGTGTAGACCATCCTACACCCACTCCACCATTTACATAGCTAAAATTAAAGTTTCTGTCTTTTCCCATTTTAAATGTTGGCAATACATTTGTTTCATATTTTATTGTATGGTAAAACAAACTAGGTGACCTGTGAATTCAATTCAGGCACAGCTGCTACAACAAAAACATTCACTGTTGCTTATTAAAGATTTGGGAGGTACTGTAACGCAATGGATGTATTAATCACAACGATACTTATGAGCAGCGGATGTATTTAGACAAGGCGTTTGATATGACTGCATAATAAGGTTGTTACCATTTTGTGGGTCAAATATTTCGGTCATGTAATTTTGATAGGCTAATTATGTATTAAATGGTATTTAATATACGCTATGTTTAAGTCTTCCTTTATTAGGCCAGTGGCCATGACCTATCCTCATTTTTTTTTTCTAGATTATTTCCTAAACCAAAAATTGTTTAAAATCAGAATAAGCAAAGGGATTGCTAACTTTGTGGCCACAGTAGTGGTATTGGCTACATTCTCTAGTCTGGCTATTTTCCACCTGACAAAAAAAATGAACAATACGTTCATTGTGTTAAATCACACAGTGGTTAGCATCACTGAATTTTACCATAATAATTTAGGATGACCCTTCCCCTCCCCCTCCCCCCAAAAAATATATATTAAAAAATAAAATAAAAAAAAGGAAATCAGCAATCAACAAAAAACAAAACCCCCAAAAAACAAAAGAAACTAAAAAAAGTTAGACAGTCTTTTAAACCGTGAAATTAATAATAATAATAATAATAATAATAATAATAAAAAAATGATAATGTCAATATTTCACTGTTGTTGTGTTTAATAAAGTTTTACGTGGGATAAAAAAAAAAAGGATAATCTAAAAACAAGTCCAGGAAGCCCCTCCCCGTCCCCAGCCTCGGAGCCGCGCATGCGCAGCCAGAAAGGGAGAGCTGCCGAGGAAGAGAGAAAAGTGTGTCACTGGGGCACGAGGCTCTCCCAGGGGGTCACGTGGTCCGCGCTCCAGTGCCTCGTGCGGGCTGCGGGGAGGGGGTTGTCGCGCCGAGTGCGCATGCGCCGTGCTGCAGCAGCCAGCAGTGTCCTGGCAGGCAGGAGGTGTCAGGGCATTGCAGAACGGGGACGGCGCGCGGTGCGGACGTGTTGTCACTTAGCTCCCGGCTTACAGACAGACAGACAGACAGGGGGCTCTGCACACCCTCCCATTAGCACACTGCACAGCACTGCAAGGGGCACTGCACCCACTGACCGCCTGAAAAGGAGCATTTTATTTAATATTTCTCAATAAGGACCAGTGACAGCCTGCAATAATAATAATTAATAAATAATAATTAATATCAAATCTGATTATTGTCAGTATCTTGGAGGAATGTGCACAGGGCACCCCATCCTCAGCTCCCACACTGTGAGAGCTAACTAAAAGGACCTTAGAGGACAGGGGCAATTATTATTATTTTTATTATTATTTTTTTAAAAATTTTTTTTAATTATTATTATTTATTATTTCAACCAATGCAGCCAATGCTGTCAGTTTTACATCCTGATTATTTAAAGGATTATCACAGGAGATCTCAGCACCCAGGGCTGTGTAAAGGACACTGAGAACCCATTCACCTTGATCACTTGTTATGAATGAATCAGGCAGCACAGCCATGGCAGGGGTGGACATCAGCAGTAACACAGGTAAGAGTCACATGGATTGGGATTTAAATATATTGTATATGATTCTGGCATTTATTAACATCATAAAGCCAATACTCTAATTTTACTAAAGTATTACATCTATCTATTTTTTATAACATATTTGTATGTATAAATATATATATATATATATATATATATGTATATATATAGTCATATATTTTATTTAAGAATATAATTTCATTTAGTTTTGATACATTTTGTTCTGGAAAGCATACTGTAATTTGTGATGTGATACAAGTCTATGTGCATATGATCTTGAAATGGATTTTTGCAAGGCAAGTGTGTACTTGTAAAAGATTCAGTTTTTGGTCACATGTATTATTAAAAATGTATTTTTAATTTTTATTTTATTCTGTTTTATATTTTAAATGGCTTGTAATTGGAATCCTGGTGACAGGTAGGGCAATAAAAATAGTTTAATTCCAAAGCTCAGCAGAAGTCTGCAAATTTTCATGGGTACAGATTGATTTTATAGGGTGCAGATTGAATTTAATAGGGTGCAGATTGACTTTCATGGGTGTAGATTTCACCTGCTCTAATGTTTCGAGTGTGCGAGTCCAGATTCTTGGTATAGAGCCTGTTTAGGGTTTTATGATCTGTGATATGGCAAACATAACATGATCATTTCGTAAACACTTCTTAGAAAGTGACACTCTTGGAAGTAGTTAATCAGATGGTCAATGACCCCAGGGCCAAATACTGCTGTCACCACATACACTACAGTCAGCTAAGTTTGTCTGTGTCCATACATGGGTCATAGGGAGGCATTCGTCACTTCTTCAGCAAGTGTAAAATCTGTAGACCCTCATGTTCAGGTCTATTAAATGTATTTATACATTTGTGATTTTTAGGCGTATTTGTAAATTGGACTTAGTGCTTTTTATCTATATGCAGGGTCAGTGACCTGTATAGTGCTGTGCATTGGAGCTTACAATCTAATCAAGATATTTAAAAGTTTTATAATAAATGTCTCTATGTATACATTTAGGGATGTGTATAATATATACACACAGATATTTTGTTATTCTGCTGAAGAGAGTGTCAATCAGCTGTTAGTGGGAGGGAATCCTGGCCTGCAGAGCTTGCAGTCACATGGAATGAGTAAAGTAGGTCACCAAGGCTGTGTGTGAGCTGTATGTATCCTCCCTCCTCACGTGTTGTCCCTTCCTAGCCATGTGCCTGGTGTTTTCATTCCTGCTATTTCTACCCACGCTGCCATTGGGCAGTTCCAATTTGGTCTCTTCCCTCTATTGATGTCATTGCTATTCAGAACACTCCCACTGCCCGCTGGTGTCAACCCAATGTCCCTTTTAACCTCTTTCGTGCTGAAAGCACTTGCAATGTACGCCAAGTCCTGTTACCTATGAAGAATTATGTTGAATAATTGAAGGGAATTAGGCCAGGGTGCCATGGAAAGGATGTCAGATATTGTAAGCGGGTACATTTTACTGAAATTCAGCAATCCTGAGAGATGGGGAAAGAAGATACCCCAATAAGATATTGCTTCGCCTGTGCGATTTGAAATTTATTATTTAAAGGGCATATTTCTTAATAACTTATTATAAGCGTGTCATCTAGGGCTTAAAGTTTGTGTGAGCGGAGCAGCGTAACTCCCTATAAAGTGAGTAATTCAAGCCACCGTGGTCGTGAAATGGTTAAAGGGCATGTTGGCACAACTTTTAAAGGGAGGCGGGCGAGACACTTGAAGGGGGCATGGCTGATAGGCCACAGGCAAGGCTCGGGGCGTGTCCCACCAGTCCTCGTGCATTGGGAACACGTGGAGTGTGAGCGTGGAGTGTGTGCGTGAGGCTAGTGTAACCTGAGGTCAAATAGCTCTCAGTACATATGGTAGCTCCAGAGAACAGGTTTATATAAAGACTTTAGTAAGACAAGATAGGGTGACTGGCAAAACCTAGGATGCGGACGAAAGATCGAAGGACAGGTGACGTTAGCGAAAATAGTAGCCAGAGGATTAGGAGCTGGGGGATAGCGAAAGATTAGATAAGAGAAGTGGGTTGAGAAGAACACGTATTAGGAGAGAAAATGAAAGCGATAAGGGCAGCTGTAATGACTTTTCATACCTAAGAGGATCAAGATTATATATAATTTAAAGCGTTAGAGATCGGAGAAAAAGCTATTGGTAACTGATATTTAAAGTCCTAGAAGAGGCTCGGAAGTGGACATGAGCGGGGCATGGAGACAAGTGTATAAAGCAGGGATCCCCAAAAGGTAGATCTCCAGATGTATTAAAACTACAATTCCCATGATGCTTTGTCATTCCAAAGGCATGCAAATCATCATGAGAGTTGTAGTTCTACAACATTGGGGGATCTCCCTTTTGGGCACCCCATGTTCTATAAAGGAACATCAAAAATATAATTGGAAAGAAGGGCTGCATTAATCAAATTGGTTATGACCAGGTTAACAAAATACTAGAAATCTGACTGTTGCAGAACTCCCAACTCCAATGATGCTTGCAAGCTTTGATGCTAGCAAGGCATAATGGGAGTTGGAGTTCTACAGCTGGAGTGACACCTTTTTTTTTTTGGTCATCTTTGGCCTACAGTCTAGAATCCGTAAATCTGTTGGGATTATGTGTGCTGACATTATCTTTAATGACAGCAGGGTAAATAACTGTATCATATAACAGTCCCATTGCATGGTTGAACTGTGGATTATTTTTTTTGCACATTTTGAACTGTGCTGGATAAAATATGACCGTTCAGTTCGGTGCTTTTTTTGAAGGGAAGAATAGGAAACATCCCTTTCAGTGCCTCAAAGGGCTGAGCAATGTGAGAATGTGAAAGCCTCCCTAAAAATATCAATTCTTCTCTCCTTCTATTTCTGGCTTAAAATAGTTTCTATAGACGTGACAGGCGGGGTGGGGTGGAGGGGGGGCCAGACTGCGGCAGAGCAGGAGGGAGGATTCAGCTAGTGAGATCACTTATTGAATTGGGAATCTGCACCAGATCTGCTGCCTTTACTTTATTATTATTATTCTCATTTATATCGCTCCAACATACCAACATATTCCGGAGAGCTTTACAATAATGCATTGGGGATAAATAAAACAAGGGTTGACATTCAAAGCAATGTTGCCAGAGACAAGATTTGAAGAGTGTCCTGCTCTTATGAGCTCACAATCTAAGGATCTATTTATGGGAATAAAATCATGCTTAATTCTTCTCACATAGACTACGCATGAAAATTGATTGCATGTCATGTATGTTCTAAATCTATGCTACGTCCATATGCCTGTCCATCTATACCCATATACAACGTTGCATTTAATATTACATTTTGCTGGGCATTTGGAGAGTTAATAATTCACCCGATGGCCCTGATCACCGTGTGGCAAGCGGGAGGGGGGTAGCGGGGGTTCCCTTGCTGTCTTGTGCGTTTTACATTTCCCAGAATGCTGTGCAGCTGTGTCTGCAGTGCAGAGTCCCAGACAGGCCCTGCCCCTTGTCAGACATTAACTGCTTATTTACCTCCTTACCAAGAAGCTTACTTCTTAGCGTGACTGTTTCCATTTTATGCTAAATTAATTAGCATTTTGTTACAGATATTTTCCCTAGAGGACATCGCTTTTCACTATATGCCCAGCGTTCACTGTCATTGATATTCACTATCACGTATGCTTTTTATAAAGGCATACTGCAGTATGAAAACGCTAATACAGACTCAGACCATAATAGTGAGACTCTATATGAACAATCAGGATAATATAAGAAGTATAGTTGTTGCAGATGTTGATTTAGTATTTAATATGCACTACTGATCAGTAAAGTAAATTTCTAATGTTGTTGTTGTTTTTTTTTTTTTTTTCTTCTCTCTCCCTCCAGGGGGCGTCATAAGTTATGTGGGCTCCAGTGGTTCCTCTCCCAGTCGGACCAGTCCAGTATCTCTGTACAGCGATTGTTCCAATGGCAGCCCTCAAAGTGGTGCCTCTCACTACCCCTCTTACCTGCCGCCCTCACCCTCGCATTCCTACAGTGCCAGCTCCTCTGGGTCAGGTGGAGAGACCTCTCCTCGTCCATCCTACGGTCTGGCCGCTTCACCGGGTGGGCTTCATGTTGCATTGGATGATGGCAGCAGAGTGTCCCCAAGTAAAACCTCAAGCAGCATTACCAGTAAGTGTTTAAAGGTTTACGGCCATTTTGTTATTGTAAGAATAACTGTAATAATTGTATTGATATTGTAGGTATTATAATAATGTTTATACATTTTATCTCTCTCTCTCAGAGCTAAATGGCATGGTTTTACTATGTAAAGTCTGTGGCGATGTAGCCTCTGGTTTCCACTACGGTGTACATGCCTGTGAGGGCTGCAAGGTGAGTTCCTTATTAAGTCGCGGTGAGAAGTTTGGTCATATAATGACAGTTGTCTAGTTCAGTAATGAGCCTCTGTGAGTGGTTGTTTGAGCGATGATAGTCAGCAACTAGCTCAGTCCAGTGACCGTTCGCTAGTGGTTAGGTGAAACGCCATTGTATTCAAATGCAAGGGCAGCATCTATGCTCCAAAATAACTTCATCAAGATGAAGTTTATTTTGGTGTTTAGACTGTCTCTTTAACTCATGATAGTCAGGCCCAATTATGATATTCTGTGAGTGGTTAGGTTAATTGCTGTTAGTCTTTGAATAGTTTGATCCAGTGACGATATATTCTGTCTGTGGTTAGATTCAGTGATGGTGGTCTGTGAGTGATTAGGTAAAGTGGTGATGGTGTGTGTAAGTGATTAGGTAAAGTGGTGATGGTGTGTGTGAGTGATTAGGTAAAGTGGTGATGGTCTGAGAGTGATTAGGTAAAGTGGTGATGGTGTGTGAGTGATTAGGTAAAGTGATGGTAATTGAGGAGTAGAGATTTCATTCTGTTTGTTGTTAGGTGTCCTTTGTCTAAGAAGTAAATACTTATGACTGTTGTCCCATTATTTCCAGGGTTTTTTCCGTCGCAGTATCCAGCAGAACATCCAGTACAAGAAATGCCTGAAAAATGAGACTTGCTCTATTGTACGAATAAACAGGAATCGCTGTCAGCAGTGCCGTTTCCGGAAGTGTCTGTCTGTAGGCATGTCTCGAGATGGTGAGTGTCCTATTTACATAACTACATTAGCCAACCTGTTATTTTTTCGTGGTATTTGATTATTAACATAAACCATGTCTTCTTCCAGCTGTGCGGTTTGGTCGCATCCCAAAGAGGGAAAAGCAAAGAATGCTAGCAGAAATGCACAGCGCAATGAGCCACATTGCTGGTGGCCATTTTGGGAGGCGGAGCCCAGTTCCTCTACAGCCACAGCAGCTTCGGCCATCCTCTCCTCCTCACATGGGGCCAGTCTCCTGCCCTTCTCCCCCATCTCTTCCTGAAGCATTTCCCCACTATCCTCAGCAGCTGACACCGCCTCGATCGCCCAGCCCAGACCACGTTGACGATGTCATAGGTCAGGTCACCCAAGCGCACAGACAGATCTTTGTCTATGCCCATGACAAAGTGCATGCCAAGACATCAGTATGGGATCAACATCATGGCATCCATTCATCATCACATGACAACAGGGAAACGCAAGGCAATCGAGACGTACTGCTGGTAAGAGCTCAAACGCATTATCTTTTGGTATTCTACAGATTGATCGGTGTGTGTGTGTATAGCTACAAGACAGTAGATGGATAATTATGTTGTTTTGCAGTGCATACATGATCAGCTCTATTGATTGGTGGTATATAAGATTGAAGTATGTTTTGATTTTAACGTTATTAGAGCATTATGATTGGAAATAATTTCAAGACAACTAAACTTGTATTTTTGTGGTGTCTCCTGTCCAGGCTTGTCCCATGAATCCTCTCCCTCGAGGTGGTCCACACCGCTCCGTACAGGAGGTGTGGGAGGACTTCTCCCTCAGTTTCACTCCAGCCGTACGAGAGGTCGTGGATTTTGCGCGTCACATTCCTGGGTTTAGAGACCTCACTCAGCAAGACCAAGTCACTCTGCTCAAGGCTGGCACGTTCGAGGTAAACAAAAAGGCTCGTATTGTTTAATGTCTATTTAACTGGACAATTCAATAAAGTGGGAATCCAAAGTAAATTTCAGATTTAAGGACCGAGTAGCCATACTGAGAGGATAGCTAGCTAACTTGGAGAATTTTTCCAGTTTGGGTATTTTGACCTTAAAATTCAAAATTCACTTTGAAGTCTCATTTTCCGTGTAAAATCTTTTTATTGAAAGATTCATAAAGTAAATAAGCATGAGATATGATGACTTAAGTACAAGCAAAAACGGAATTATATAAATAGTATGACTAAGTTTGTAAAATGAGTGCAAGGAAGTTATTTGAACTTAATAAAAATAAGATTACATTAATAATGTAGATCTCAAATTCAAGTGCTCTAATGTAGAGCGAGAAAAAAATTGAGGGAGGAAAGGGTGTAGTCTGATCAAAGATAAAAGTCTAATCTTTAGTATAGTAAAATATAAACAAAATAAAAGTGCCCATACAAACATCTGGTGTGAGCCTTTAGATCAGGCTTCCCCAAACTCTGGCCCTCCGGATGTTGCTGAACTACAACTCCCATGGTTCTATGAATGAAATAGGCTGAGAATCATGGGAGTTGTAGTTCAGCAACATCTGGAGGGCCGGAGTTTGGGGAAGCCTGCTTTAGATTAATTTCCTATTTGGGTGTCAGGTTACGGAGATCGATTCAGGTTCAAGGGGAGTGTATATTGACACAGTTGAGAGCCACTAAATACAATATTGCACTGGGTGAACCAGAGAGGTTCTCTGTGCAGGTATGCTGAATTGCAGAAAAGGCTCCTATCCAAAAATTCTTTATGTGAGGACAATGTCACCAAATATGGAGAAATGTCCACCTGTGAGAGTGGCACCTCCAGCACCTAAATGTCTAAAAGATGCTTTGAATTTCTGGGTGGCAGCATTATAATGGAGCAGGGGTGCCCAAAATGTAGATCCCCCAGATGTTTTAAAACTACTTCTATGATGCATTGTCATTCTAAAGACATGCAAAGCATCATGGGAGTTTTAGTTCTGCAGTATCTGGGGATCTTATTTTTTGGGCACCCCTGTAATTGAGGGTGTCCAGAGCGAAGAAGCACCTAAAGTGATAAATTGGGGCATAACCTTGTGACCTTTCCAACTGTATAATTTATATTATTAATGTTCTCCAGTACCTCATTCTAACATCTCTTATCATGTTCTTCTATTTCTCTGTTACAGGTCCTAATGGTACGCTTTGCCTGTTTATTTGATGTGAGAGAGCGCTCTTTACGGTTTCTAAGTGGAGCCACATACTCCTTACCTGAGCTCCAAGCAATGGGTATGGGCGAACTTCTCAACTCAATGTTTGACTTCAGTGAAAAATTGGCCTCTCTAAACCTGAGCCCAGAGGAGCTGGGGATCTTTACCGCATTAGTCCTTGTTTCTGCAGGTGTGTACTTACAAAGGACCATCTCTGTGTAGGGAGAAGAATTTGATCACTTGATATAGGTTGTTAAGAGTTTTGCTCTTCAAGGTCGATCGTTAATTCTCCTTGCTCACCATGTAGATGTTACAGTTTATTTCTAACAAGTATCTTAACAATTCTCCTTTCTGCACTACAGATCGCACTGGAATGGAGAATGCTTCTCTAGTTGAGCAGCTGCAAGAGACTTTGATTCGGGCCCTGCGTTCTCTTATCCTGAAGAACACGCCAAACGATACTTCCCGTTTTACCAAACTCTTATTGCGCCTTCCAGACCTACGAACCCTGAACAGCTTACACTCTGAAAAGCTGCTCTCATTTCGCGTTGACACACACTGATTGTCATTGAACTGTGCTAATAGAGCAGATGGACCATAAGAATGTGCGCACACTGGGTGGTGAAATGACACATTACTCCACAAATCAAGCGAGGACATGTTTGTGTTTTATCACCCAAGGAGAGCATGAGCAGTCTGTGATGATGAAAGGTTAACAACGGTTGACATCTACAGGTCGAATATCAAGAGTGGTTAAATGGTGCGCGTTTAATAAAAGTAAAAAAGATGGCTGTTCAGCTCGACCTCAGTTGTACTGGTTATGCGAGATTTGTGGACTGTAGAGGCCAAAGCACTATTCATTCTACAAGGGGACATTTCGAAGCAATGTATATATGTATCATAGTGTACAGGGATCTGTAAATATCTGTGTGTATCAGATGTCGTGTCTAATATAAATATAAAAAAAAGATTGTGTCTTTCTCTCTACCAGTAACCATTCCCTCGTCAGAGGGTCATAAGAGACACTGTTTGCATGTTATTAACATCTTGCACTGTGATGTAACGCTGTCTCCCTTTGCTGAAATGGAGGGGGGTTTAAAGCCTAAAACCTGTATGGAATTTACCAGCCATGTAACAAATCATAAAGTTACTATTTGTCAAAATTATCTGCATCCGTTAAGATTGAAAAAAGTGTATCTTATATCATGTTTAATGGAAGCATTGTTCTTGACCGGTATATATCTGAAATGTTTGTGTATATATGTTGTATTTATATTTTGTAACTATTTATATCTAAACTACAATAATTCCACTTTAAATAAAGAAATATTTTGACATCACAGTCTCATTACTAACAAAGCAAACACACTTTTTACATTAACATATAGAAAGTTACGGGAGGGCTAGAATATGTAGGTGAAAGCGAACCAGCACCACCTGCTGGTCAGATAAAGTAATTACCGCTCACTGTGACGTTATTGAGGTTTATTCAATAAACATGGAACTGAAGTTAAGTGAAATTCAAATTGTGGCTAAATGGCCGAGCTGAGACTGAGAAAAAAAACACTTTTTACCTACAATTTCAATTTGGACTTTAATTCAATACAGTTTGGTGTATTGTGAATATTCCTATTGGTAAACGATGAGGTTATTCTTTAAATATAACTTAAGGGACATCTCGGCTAATATGGTGGGTGTTAAACCTCTTAAGGACACAGACAATTGTCCCAAGTTCTGAACTAAAATCAAACCTAGAATTTGTACTATGTGTTTGTTCAATCATAATTTGTTTCTGTAATAAATGAAAACAAATACTGATTTGTACCACTGTGACACTTATAATATCGGTCGCTCACCCTGACAAACATAGACTCGGATTACAATCAAATAGAGGATTGTATTCAGCAAATAATGGAAGATTGGACCTTCCTACATACCTTCATGCTGCCACACCTGCCATCTGATTGGCTTGTGGGCCGTCTGATTATAGGATCATTCACATATGGGTAATTGAGGGCTGGGTATTTAAACCAACTCAGAGGATACCTATGGCCACTCTGCTCCTGACGGCAACGTCTTAGCATGCTAAAACGCGTGTCAAGCTCTTTTATTTTCAATTTGCACTTCAGTAGCACTATGCACGTTTGAATTTTTGTTTTGAGTGTTCAGGGTTACTGGTTCAGGTAGGCATTAGCTCTGTGCGGTGCCGGGGTATATAGGGACAGCGAGAGATTTTTATTAATGGGGAATTAGTAGCACCTTTATCTTTTGCAACCTCCTGGTTCCCTCTCTGGTGTTTTGGGACACTGTGTACAGGGGAGGTTTGGATGAGTCTAGTTTAAGTATGCAGACCTTCTACCTCTCTTTGTAAATACCCTCTTCCCTACCCGTCCAGAGGTGGACACCACCCACCTCTTATACTCCTGTTTTAATACTCTTTATATTTTCTTTTTAAGTGGACCATTATCCTTTGTACACTTGAGAATACATTTTTTTTTTTTTTTGGCCACTTACAATACTTTTGTGCTTCCTCCCAGTGTATCCCACAATTTTGGGTGACACTGGGATTTTTTGTTCTCATTGTCTGTTGTTTCTTTTAAGTACCCCATAGGACAGAAAGGGGTTTCTTTTCATATTCTTTATGTATACATACAACATTAAGTATGAATAAAATGCTAAACGTCGGGGAAAAAAAATTAAAATCATTTTTTACATCCAGCAATTTAAAATAACTTAAAGTAGATTCACATACCAGTCCTGATGGTTAAATACCTCATATGGCTAAATGCATTTTTTAGTACTTAACGGTAACCCTATACCAACTCCTCGCCCCCTCCCCCAAAGCTATACCGACCATATGCCTACGCAAAGTCTAGCTACAGATCTACCCTAATCTTACCCCTTAGTAATGTGTTTCTAGATATCCTCACAAAGAAAAAATACATAATAAAAGGCATACACGCTTTCACAGGGGGTCTATCTACTAAACAGTGATTTTATTTAAATTTAAAGGACCACTCTAGGCACCCAGACCACTTCAGCTTAATGAAGTGGTCTGGGTGCCAGGTCCCTCTAGGGAGAAACTGCTATGTTTATACTGAGGGTTAATCCAGCCTCCAGAGCCTCTAGTGGCTGTCTCATTGACAGCTGCTAGAGGCGCTTGCGTGCTTCTCACAGTGAGAGCACGCAAGCGTCCATAGGAAAGCATTGTAAATGCTTTCCTATGCGACTGCCGCGCATGCGCATTCAGTCGATGACATCGCGAGCAAGGAGGAGAGGAGGAGTACAGCCCCGCCCCGCGCTGGAGAAAGGTAAGTGTTTAACCCCTTCCTCTCTCCAGAGCCTGGCGGGAGAGGGACCCTGAGGGTGGGGGCATCCTCAGGGCACTATAGTGCCAGGAAAACGAGTATGTTTTCCTGGCACTATAGTGGTCCTTTAAGCAGTGCAATGACTCTTTAAGGGCAAACCTCTGTACTCTATATTTAAGACAATGAACAAGAATTTTCAGCTAAACCAACTTATTTTGAATGCGAAATCCAAGTAGATCACATCCAGTGCAACAGCCTGATCAATACTTCTATTTACTTCTTCTTAGAATGCAATTAAAAGGGAACTTTGGGCACCATAACAACTTAATTTGAATTAAAATGTTACGTGCCAGAAGGGCAACAGGCGCACTGTTACCTTGAGAATGGTTTAACTTCAAAGTGATCCTCCAGCGCCCATCCTTAGGTCCCCCAGGGGGTATCCGGAGAGGGGTGAAGCTGATTGGTTGAGAGCGGTCGGCTGATTCTCTGAGCCAATCACTGACTCCCTATTGCTAACACTATCTAGAAAAGAAAAACAACTTTTACAAAGGTTGTTATGGTGCCTAAATTATTCCTTTAAGTTAGTTTGACTTGATCTATTTTTCATAAAACCATGCTGATTTCTGCTAATGACGTTGTTCCCAAGTAATTTATGAATATTATCCCAGGCACATGAGTTAAGCACACGGGTCTATAATTTCTGGGCAGAGATTTTGAATATAGGAACAACATTTGCCTTTCTGCAATCCTCGGGTATGATACCTGAAAGAAAAGAATCTCAAAGGATGAAAAAAAAGAGGATAGTTTATTTCCACACGAAGACATCACAGGCACCCAGACTAGTTCATCTCAATGTAGTTTAACTCTGTAGGTGAGAACTTTGCCGCTCTGCAAGAATTGCAGGGTTTAAATGCCTCTAATGGCTGTTGTGCTTCATCAGAATTTGCCGAGTGAATCAGATGGTTTCATAGAGCCCATCTGATTGGTGCAGTGCAGTATTTTGCTATGCATGCGCACTAGTCAAGGTTGATGACCTCTTGATAAGGTACTACTGGTTCCAAAACTGGTGCAACATACAGTAGCACAAATACAGGTTATTTGAAATTCCATTAGAATTCACAATTAAGCGAATAACTAAAAGTATCTGATGCTGTTATTATTAATACTTATATATCGCCAACAAATTCTGCAGCGCTGTACAATGGGACTGTTCACTCAAAAGATTAATTTGAAGTGATTTCTAATTCTGCTGCTAAGTAACTTCAAGAAGAAAAACTACCACAACAAGAGGACATAGTCTTAAATTAGAGGGGCAAAGGTTTAAAAATAATATCAGGAAGTATTACTTTACTGAGAGGGTAGTGGATGCATGGAATAGCCTTCCAGCTGAAGTGGTAGAGGTTAACACAGTAAAGGAGTTTAAGCATGCGTGGGATAGGCATAAGGCTATCCTAACTATAAGATAAGGCCAGGGACTAATGAAAGTATTTCGAAAATTGGGCAGACTAGATGGACCGAATGGTTCTTATCTGCCGTCACATTCTATGTTTCTATGTTTCATGACTCCAAAGTTGCAATCATATTTCTCCAAGGACTCTCATCCACAACACACAATCTATAGAGAACACCAAGTGCCCAATGTACCTCAGACAAGATACGTTCTGATAATTCCATAGTAAATATATGAATAAACAAACAATACACAGCTAGAAGATACAATGGTTTCAGATAGAGAATTTCTGGGTGGGAGCATTATAATAGAGTAGGGGGGCCCAAAAGGTAGCTCACCAGATGTTTAAAAACTACAACTTCCATGATGCTTTGTCATTCTAAAGGCATGCAAAGCATCATGGGACTTGTAGCTCTGCGACATCTGGAGATCTACCTTTTGGGCACCCCTGTAATTGAGGGTGCCCGGAGCTAAGGAGATGCGCTTTTACAGAATGTGCGCAATTACAGATTCTGAAATCCATTCTTCACTGTGTAACAACGAGGATAAAGTAATGGAATAAAATACAACATAATGTAGAAATACAAGATCTCTCTCAAAAACAAGTTATCTGGGATTGAGACGTGTCTGATGCATTGTACTTAGTGCTCTCATTCTTAAAAGTAAATTGTCAAGGCTGCACCAACTTTAGCTCTTTTAACAGAGCTTGAAAATCAATCCATACATTGTGCTAGAAGTTTTGCTAGCAAATGTATAGATTTGGAGAAAAACCCATTTAGATATAGGTTTTTTTTTCTCACATCT